GAGTTAAGTCTTTAAGATCTTTAAGATTTGCACATTCTGAATATCAGTGTTGCATTTGAAAGTATAAAAGTCTTATCTATAAATGTAATTAAAATTCAACAGAAATCCATAGATGACCTGCAATCATTAGTACTTCTTGACAGTAAGATCATAAATCACTTGTGAAACCTTATTGGAAACCCAGAGAAAATAGCTTTTCCCTTTGGCATACTCTAGGACATGACCTTCAATGTTTCTGTTCTATAAGAAGTTAGTAGTCACTTGTAAGAACTTTTAAAGTTAACGCTACTTGGGTGTTCTCAAGAATGTGATAAACTGCCCTTGTTTCTCAAACCTTTGTACAGCAAGTACAATATTAGTTGCATTGTTTGACCTGTTTGATAAGCAAAGGGAAGATGTTGCTCACGGCAAACCTCCCTTCTTTGGCAAGGCCAAAACCACAATGCTCCTTTACTCTATGGACTCTGAAGTTGTTTCACATTTTCTGTTAATAGTCTCACATCTTTTCTCCTTTCATTTCCTTTTGCCACTTGACGTACTAATAAGTCTTGGATTAAAATGCATTGCAGCAGAGGCAGGGGACAGTGTGTTGTCTGACTCTAGGGACAGAAATAAGAACTTCAGAACAAAAGTCATATGTCTTAACAGCTTGAGCTGAAGAGCCAGCTTCAGAGTGGAAGGTTGTCAAGTGTCCCATCAAGTATACTGTGTGACACACCGAGTCATCCTACAGATGGGTAACTGGAGAATAGAAAAGGAAGTCAGGGTGCCTGTGGCAGATGGGTGATTGAACCACTGGGTGTTTGTAGTAGGAATCTGAATTCCAAAAATGCAGAGCTGCTTCTGTAATTTGTTGGAGGTCCCTTAGCAACATGATTCAGAGGTGCTCAGCGTATTTAAGAATTAATATGTTAAATCCGTTAATGTAAAATTTAAGTTTAAAATTTTTGAAGTCCCCTAGTAATTACTTTATTATGCTGGCTTTACTCAGAATTGATCAAGTTAAGCTAGTGTGCCAAACGTACTTTTTCTCAGGAGCAGATTGGATCAGTTCTCCAGCGCTGTGCAGCGATTTCTGCGTTAGCACTCTTTCTTGTCACAGCAGCACTTCAGCAATTCAGCAAGGTGGGCTTATATGCCTTTTTATGAACGATGCTTTTTACATTTCCTCTCTCTGCTGTGCCTAGTACGTAAACATGAGGGACAAAAGAGTGGTCAGTGTTTCCATAATAGCATGGCCCCCAGTGGGCTCATGCATATTTGCTTATTATTAAACGGTTCACATGCCTTTAAACCCATCACTTACTTGAGCACAAATCAGTCAAGATTTGCATTTTGCTTGCTATTCAAGTTTTTAAACTCATGAGCTCTCTGCCTAATGACAAGAATATTTATCCAGGTTAATTGATAAAATCTGCTCAACATAAAGTGCTCTAGGAAACAATTTCAGAACATTTACATGTTGTATTAACATCTCATTATTTTATTCAACACCCCCAGAGCAAGTGGGGATGTAGGATGAATGGAATGTGTTTTCTAATGGCATTTTCTCTAGAAAAAGCTCATCTACTTCTCTTCTAACATACCTATCTATGTTGTCTTTTGCTTAAGACCTAAACATCCTTAAAGGTCTGAGCATACAGCTATTTCAATATTGACCATCAAAATATGAATTCAAACAAAGCAGTTGCTAGATTTTGAATACTGAATGCTTTCAGTTGGATGCTGTATTTTAGAGTGAATTTGAATAGCAAATTAAAAAAAAAATAGAAACAAAAATCAGCAGATTTGCTAGTATGGTCATAAGCAATATGTAAATAGCAATAAATAGCAATTTGTTAAATAAATGATTCATTATAGGCTAGTACCCCAAGCTTTTTTCCCATCTTTGCCGTTGCTCTGGTTTGCCTGAGGACAGTTGTCTATGAATTTACATCATGATAAATGTGTCCTTAAAGCAGGGAAGCAAAGAGAGAAAATAGAGGGTTGGAATTCCTTGTGGAATAAATCACTCATTGTAAAAACTCTAGTATCTCCGGTTTAGTTATTGTATTTTGTACTGTTTCTTCCTGTTCTCCATAAATCATTTACACTGATGATTTTTTTCCTATATTATTAAGTGTTTCAAGCTGAGTCATTTCAAACTCAGTATTAATTTTGTTGGCAGGAGAGTGAAAGCAAAACCTCGTACTTTTTTGCTCAGGTGGGAGAAGGAAGACTAATTGATGTTATCATAAATGGGAGTTAAGCTAAATACTTGTCCTCCACTACTGAATTGGATGAAATTAGGGCGGAGTAGAGTGTTTGTCAATAGGAAGTTACGAGGAAAAATAATTAGAACAAGTCCTGCATTATAAATGGGAATGCAGTACCACCTTTTTAGGCTCTGGACAAGTCTCTGTGAAAGTTAGCAGGATATGTTTGTCCAAGTGTTTATATAATGCAGTGATACTTACTAAACTGTTGAAGTTTAATAAATTTGAGTCTTTGTCTTTAAAGCAGGCTTTAATGGTTAGTCCTCAATCAATAGATAAAAATATTTATTCTACTCTTTCAGACATAAAAATGCTGTTCATTTTTCTAGACTTTCTTAAAAGGTGAGGAACTGGTTTTCCATTTAGGTCTGTCTTATTCTGCTTCCTGCAATAACATAACTCCCTTCTGAAGCCTCTTCCATTTCTTATATTCCTTCCCTACTTTCCAGCTCCAAACAAAAGAAAAAAATGACTTGCCACTTCTCTCTGGCAAACACCAACAGCAGGAAAAAAATCTGACTTATCTATTACGTATATATAATTTTCACTAATATTTTTTGGAATATTTTGCTTGTTGTGCCCACAACCACTCACTTTCCTGGCATTTTAATGTCAGCCAAATGTTACTGTCAGCTATGGGGTTAAAAGCTCCTGAGGAGGAGATTGTTGTGTTGATGGGAGATTACCAGGAAAACCCAGCTGTTCTAAGCAATGGTTTTGGTATCATTACCAGTTTTATCTAATATGTCAATACTGAACACTTGAGGATGATTTTAGCGAAAATGGAATTCTAATCACAACAGGGATTTACTGACCCGCCTGTCTCTTTCTGCTGAAGTTCAATATTTAGACATCACATTATTACATTCAGAGTTTCCTGGTTAAGTCCTGTTTTATGCTCTGAAGACTAAATCCTTCTGAATTCTGAGGTTTGCATCCAGGCATCAATACAGCCACCCAGCCCTGACAGTACAAAGCTGCTCGTAGCATGGTTATTACAGAAATCCTGTAGGACAACAGTAGCAGATCCTGATTCTGGAAGAGTTCTCAGAAGACTGTGGCTCTCCTTCTGTTCTCTTTTTCTCTGTAGCTGTAAGCAGACCATCATACTTTCATTCTTCAGTGTTTTCCCAGGATCTGTTGGTGTGACTACTTCTTAAGCAAGAGGTGGTGACTTTAATAGTCCACAGTGGATTTTGTATTACTATTTAAGTTCTTTTTCATTACAAGTTCATTTCTACTGCCCAAAACATCAAGCGACGAGAAGTTCCTTAAGTCAGCCATGACTCTTATAAATACCCTGGTTCTGAACCCAGCTAGTGTCTGTTTCATCTGATGTTTCCTAATTTTTTTATTGGGAAGGAAAATGAGTATTCATGTTCTGTTCACCTTCTCCATTCCAATTATAATTCTATTATCATACCTACGTATCTCTTCTCTTTAATCATTTATTTTCCTAGTCCATTAAGCTATCTTTCATACATGTGCTCTTCTATACTTTTTCCTCTCCTTCCTAACTTTCTTTAAATCATGTCCTTAATCAGGCTATGATTTTTTGTGGGTTTTTTTTTTTTTTTTTCTTTCACTTTCAACTTTTAATTCTGTATTCCTGTGTAATGCCATATGTTTACGTTCTGTGAAATAATTGGAGGAGTGGACAGATGAAGATGTCTGACTTCCAAGACTGATTACTTTACTAGTCACCTCTCCTGCTTCCATTTCCCTGTCTCCTTAATAGTTGCACGTGTTGTGAAAGCCCAGTGCTCTTCAAAGGAGAGCAAGTTCTGCTTTCCACCCCTTTTGCAGTAGAGGCTTTTTGGTCTTCAAAAATATTGCATAACACTTAAGGCTGGGCAAGTATCTTATTACTTATCACATTCTTTAAATATACCAGATCTATTAAAGACATCTTCAGAAAGCAATGAAGAGCTGCAGTCTTTTGTTTTAACTTTTCACTGAATAATTCTAATGGGAGATTTTCACACTGGATGTCATGCACAAACTTTTTGCTTTATTCTTTTCTTATTTATTTGGACCGACCAGGTTGGTTAGATAAATCACTTGATATTAGTATGAACTACTTATAACAATTTGTTTTTCTTCTTTGCTTACATGGATATTTTCTGGATGAATAGATCTTTACCCCTCCCTTCAGTCCCAAACCCCTTCCGAAATTCTGCGTGGGGGGGGAAAAACAAAAAACAAACAAAAAAAATTTTCAAAGTACCTCGTTTATTTCTGGAAATAATTGATGCAAACTGAACTAAAAGAGAATTCATCTGGGGGCAAACATAACCTTAGAAAACTTCTCTGCTTTGCAGTAAGCGTCATGAAGAACAAAGACTCTTAAAAGTTGTTGCTTATTTCACTTCTAATAGTATTAAATGTAAATCTAGCAAACTTGATGAACGTAGGATGAATATTGAACGCTAAGGTGGCAAGGAGGTTGTCTGGTCTGTGTTATTACTGTTTAAGATTCAAGCAAGTGCTACATGGAATAACAAGCATCATAATTAAGAAATTTGATCCGTTTTCTTTTTCTGGAGGCTCTGCTCAATTTGATTCCAATGACACAGCAACACCCAGAGGTATCAGAGCTCCTGAGCCTCACAAAACACTTTCTGTCCAGGAAAAGAAACACAGAGAATGATACAGAGCTGGGAGGGGGCAGAGAGAGATTTTTATTGGAAGCTGTTAAAGTGGTTGCTATGAGACCTTCTCCAGCTAACACAGGCACAGCAGCGAGTGTGAGGCTGATATATCGTACCTCTTGTATTATACCTTTCCTTTCTGCTTTTTTTTTTTTTCCCCTAACGCAGCTTTTATAGTTGTTTAAGATCAGAGAAAGCACCTGCCAGTTGCTTTTTCTTCCCTTTTGCTCCCTTCTTCTGCCTCGTGCAAGATGGAGCTAGAAAATGAAATGATCAGTTCCTCCAGCAATTCTTCAGCAGGCTCCAGAGAGTACAAGGTGGTGATGCTAGGAGCAGGGGGAGTTGGCAAAAGCGGTAAGTTTGAGCAACAGCATTTTTGGGGAGAAGGGGTGAATTGGGAGTGTAAAGTTTACAGAACAAGAACGTTGCTTAATGAGGGGTTTCGTTCCTCTTTCTCTTGCACATGGCTTGGATAAAAGACTATAATTTGTGACTGGGGCAATGAGTCAGCTTAATTTGTTACAGATTGAAATGTTATAAGCCTTTTGAATTGCATATTTTTGTAAAACTAACCTTGGCTCCATTGTATATGAGGAGAGAGTGGTTAGCCTGCGGCTGTTAGTGTTAGCAGCAAGTAGTCAGGTCACTCTAACGCTTGGTGGGGGGCGATGGTTTGCTGGATGTAACTTGGTGGCCTGCCGGTCCTTGTGCCCAGGCAGAAATGAAACTAACTGCAAAGTCAGCTGTGCAGTGCAAAGTGTGGAGGATGCCTACACTGACTCTGTTTTCTTCCCCACATCTTCTTTTGACTTTTTTGCTGAGTTTCGTTATGGCTTAGCTGGTGTTAGTCTCCTCTCCTGTCCGGACAGTTACAGAATGCGTCTGAGTCTCACTCCAGGTGATATGGTAGATTTGCAGCATATTTTAATATCCCTGTCCAGTGCTGGCAAGATATGCCAGTGTCTGACAATGGTATCTCTTCAGTGGAGTCATTATTTTCTCTGGACAATGTTTTCTTTTTCACAGATATTATCACCTTTGATTTATTCTCACTGACACTAGCATTCTCTGTTCTTAAAAAGACTTTGCTGAACGTGCAGTGTTTGTCTCAGAAGCCAGTGTATTGAGCTGGCCACACAACAAGCATTTGATTACATCTTCTGGAAATTCAAAAGAAAAAGAGAAAAAGAAAACAAACAAGAAAAAAAGGATAATATAATATATCCAGGCTAGATTCCAGACAAATTTCAGGATAAGTAAGCTGTGACACTAAACTGTAATAATTGTGTAGATCAAATAAGTTTTATTCAAACAACAAGACAAGGTATAGATGCAAAAAATTAAATATTGGGAGTGGATATAATTTCGTCCCTGTATGCATAATCTCTGTTTTCTTGTTATGTTTGGCTTCAACTCCAGTGGCACATCTTTCCGTGAAAGCTATTTCCCATCAGTATTGCTTAACCAAGCAAACAATTCTTGCACAAATGTTAGGCTATGATCGCTATATAAAATGGGAAAGAAGAAAATATTGGTTATCTCAAAGTAACTTTCTGCAATTTGAAATTATCTTTTCCATGGTAAAGCAGGTATCCAGGATGTGTCAGCTGGAACTTTCAGTAAAATGTCACTTCTTTTTTTTTTTCTTTTTTTTTTCTCTTTTTTCTTTTTTCTTTTTTCTTTTTTCTTTTTTCTTTTTTCTTTTTTCTTTTTTCTTTTTTCTTTTTTCTTTTTCCTTTTTCCTTTTTCCTTTTTCCTTTTTCCTTTTTCCTTTTTCCTTTTTCCTTTTTCCTTTTTCCTTTTTCCTTTTTCCTTTTTCCTTTTTCCTTTTTCCTTTTTCCTTTTTCCTTTTTCCTTTTTCCTTTTTCCTTTTTCCTTTTTCCTTTTTCCTTTTTCCTTTTTCCTTTTTCCTTTTTCCTTTTTCCTTTTTCCTTTTTCCTTTTTCCTTTTTCCTTTTTCCTTTTTCCTTTTTCCTTTTTTTTCTTTTTTCTTTTTTTTTCTTTTTTCTTTTTTTCTTTTTTTTTTTTCTGAGTGCATCCAAAAGATGGCAGCAATTTTTCCCAAATATATTATTGTAAGAACTATGTCATTTTGAAGACTCATTCACCAAAACAAAAGATATTTCAAACTATACCATATTCTTAGTATAACTCTATCACAAAAGCCAAATTTTATACACACATTCAGGAAATTTTAGAGTTCCCATTTACTATTAGATAAGAGTTTTAAAGCACAAATGAAGTTTATTCAAATCTCCTTGTTCAGAAAAAAATAGCTGTTGATTTCATGAGAATAAAGCCTTCAAATCTGTGGATTACACGAGGTAATGATACATCTCCAAAGCTGAGGACCACATAATTATTCAAGAAGAATTGGGTGTCTGTGCGGTCTAGAGGAAAAAAAAATAAGATGGAATGGATAGTTATGATGTTCAATGGGATTAATGAAAACCTTCTGTTGTTTAGAAGTGAAACTTCTGGGGGAAAAAACAGCAACTGAGAATTAAGAGTCTAGAAGGAGGTGGGCAGTTCATCATTTACTGGCTATGAACTTCCAAGGTGGAATGGGTGTGAAATATTTCAGTAGAGTCCTGAGACGATCCAACTGATAAAAGTCGGATAGAGATAAGGAAAAATTGATGTCCTTCCATAAATCATAAATTCATTCTGACTGTTGTATAGGCAGGATTAATTTACAGTGGATTAAAAGCAGCAAAAGGCCTGAATGACTACTTTCATTCTCCAAGATGAGCTCTGTTTTCCCCTAATGACGTAGATTCACTCTGTCCAGGAAATTATGAATTTACCCCATAAAAAAGGGTCAGGGTAGAATAGGGATGAGAGATTAAAAAAAAAAAAAAGTTCAATTTCCAGCTTAGAGTTTTACACATAAGTGATATATGGGATGATGTATTAATAATATCCTGGCTTCTTTCCCCTTCTTCTCCCTCCTCATTCTCTTTTTAAGTCATGATAAAGCAGTAACAGCTGGGGTTAAGTTGCTGAGTGGGAAATCTCTTTTGGATGAAAGCCTTTCAGTTCCTCATTTTGTTCAGTATTAAATAATTCAGATTTGGAAAGAATTTTCCTTAAGAACCAAGCCGCAGAAATGTTAGAAGGTTTCTTTTTGCCCTGGAACATAGTTCACTTCTAAGGATCCCCTGGACATTTTGATCTTCTTTTTCCCACCCTCTTCTGCTCTCTTATTGTGCCATTTCATACTGTATGTAAGGAGGTCTTTGCACTAAAAATTGCATGCTCATTACAAGGGGCTGAGGGTGGTGATTGTACGTGTGGACAGGGAGGAATGAGGAAGAGAACACCAACAACGGATGTTCTTTTGAAGTTGGTGTTTATAGAGTATTTGCTTTGGGTGTCAGGCTTATCTCTTCAGTTCTGTGTTCCAAGATGGCAGAAAATCCTGAAGGGTAGCCAGCCTCCTGTTATTTGGGCTATTCAGTGTAGTGGACATTTTACAAGAATTAGTAATAGAAGATAAACTCAGCACATCCGAATCTGATACCCACCACATTCAGAGTAATGATGTGTAAACTGCAAATAGTTTAAGAATTGTCACTTAAGGTCCTCACATTTCAAAATCAGTACCATTAAAAGAAAAAAAAAAAGAAAAAAAATCTCTGCCAGTACTTTATAGGAGGAAAATAAAACACCCTAATCCCCAGAGTTCAGAACAAACAGGTAATAGTGGCTTTTAATTAAACTGTACAAATCTATAAGTTGGCAGTGTTAGGTTTATGGTTGGGCTCGATGATCTTAAGGGTCTTTTCCAACCTAAATGATTCTATGATTCTACACATAAATTTTCCTGGGAAGTGATTTCTGTATCATAATTATAGATTATAGATTCCCTAGAATGATTTATCCCTTCTAAGACTTCTGAAAATAGAACTATTTTTGTTTTCAGAGCAATATGCTAATTTATTACTATATGTAGGTTGTGTCTGACATCAAGCACAGCTATACACTTTGCTGTAAATTCAGACCAAAATTAGGCTAGAACCGGGAATTAAACCGAAATGAAATAAAATAAAAAAAGAGTAAATTTTCTACTGACTCTTATTTGATTATAGTCCATACCGAAATTACATGTTTCTAATGATAATTAAATTTCAATTTAAAAAAAGATTTTGACACTTGTTCTTCTCTGGCTTGATGACAAATCTCAGATCAGCTCAGTAGTGTTGAAACCTGCCTCAAGTTGCTTGACGTAGGGTTTAAACCCTAAGAATGTTAGTGGTTTTGAAACAGGTTTTGCTTACAAATACCTTCAGAAATCTGCATCTGGACAGTGAACCTAGTACTCTCATGGTCCCCAATCTGATGCGGCTCAGACCTCTGGGTTTAGCTCTATTTTTCAGTGTTACAAAAAATATACACAAAAGAGCCTCTAAATCCTGAGACCATGCATTGCTGGCTTATATTTAGCAAACTAATTACACTAATAACAATAATTAACTGCAGCACATTCTGCAAAACATTAGCAATAATTAACTGAGGGGTTGAACAGTGACTACCAAAAAGAGCAAACAAATTGATGTAGCTGTGCAACTGAATAAAATAGAAAACCTCTGTTTAATGAAAAACTGTTATTACCTAGGCATCCTTCAAATGTTGATCAGATTGCACCACAATCTAACTTTACGTGCATCTTCTGGGCTAAATGAAAATGTTATTCTAGGTTGTTTGTTTTTTTTTTTTTTTTTCTCTAATGCTAGCAAAGTTGATTTATTTAAGGGTGAAGATGGTCTACGGTTATTCCTGGTATTGAGATTATATGTTTATCCATAGAATGGGTGTATCATAGATGCAAAGTGAATTTCATGCTACCTGTCCTCTGAAAGTTGCATTTCAGATGAGAAGAGGAATTTTTAAAATATTCAAAAGTTAATAAATATTTGTAGCTGGTAAACTGTTTTTTGTTTTTTTTTTTATCTTAGAGAAAATGTGCATTTTTCAAGATTTATTTCTCAGACTGATTGACAGTTTACTTGTTGCCACCTTAAAAAAATTGAAGGGATTGTCAAATAATTACCCCAAGATTTTTGTAAAACTAATATATTTTTAGTTTTAATATACAGGTTTGGAAAACATTTAGATATATATTTCCAAGTTTCAATCTCAAAAGAATAAAAAAGAGGGGAAGAGAAGGAATTAAAAGATTCTCTTAGGGTTGTTAGAGGAAGAGTATGAAGAAATGTATTTCTCAGCCTGATCTGATTAGGGAAGGCATGCTTACCCCATTGATTTCCTTCTTTTTTTTTTTGCCAGTGTTGCACAAATGCCATATTTCTACAGATACAGGTGACTCATCCGATTAATTTCAGGATCGTGTGT